GATCATCTGAGCCGATCCGTCCTCTGACAATTGCCAGTTATTGGCAGTACTTTCCTCACGCTGTGACAACGCAAGGAAAGTGCAGCCGATAACCGGCAACTGCATTTACCAGTGATCTGCTGTGTCATTGGACACGACTGATCATGTGGTAAAAGCCTGCTGTGATTGGCCTTTTACCACATCAGGTGATCAGCTGTGTCCATAGGACACAGCGATCATGGAGATCTCCAGGAGTGCATGGGAGGGCGTGTTCTGGGTGGACGTCATATGACGCCCTAACAGAACTGGACAACCGTGCTGTGACCGTCATTCGGCTATAGCCTGGTTGTCAAGCGTTTAAACATGTCCAGTAAAAAGATTTTTAAAAATCTAATTTTGGCATAAATTTAGGGCAAAATGTATTCTGCTACTATCTTTACTAAAAAAAAAAAAAAAAATCCCAATACGTGTAAATGAATTGGTTTACATGAAAGTTATAGTGTTTACAAATGGAGGTATATATACTGGGATTTTTTTTTTATTTTTAATAGTAATGGCGGTGATCAGCGACTTATAGTTGGAATGCGGCGGACATTCTGACACTGGGGGGGAACTGACTTGGTGTCAATGACATCCCCAGTGACACCAATACAGTGATCAGTGCTAAAAAAAAGCACGGACACTGTACTAATAGCACTGGGCAGGAAGGAGTTAACATGAGGGGTGATCAAAGGGCTAACTGTGATAAGAACAAGATAAGAATCAGTAAACAAAAGCCCAAAGATGTTTCCGACTTAGTCACTTCCTATGACTAAGTTGGAAGTGACAAAACGCGTCAGGGCGTGGCTGTGCGGCGACCGGAAGTGATGCTGCCCGGAAGCGGAAGTGATGCGGGAGCGTCAGAGATCGAGGGCCGACAGTGACGAGAGCACTGGTGCGGCTTTCTTAACACTGAGAGCTTGCTAAAGTCAAACATCTTTGGGCTTTTTTTACTGATTCTTATCTTGTAAGTGGCACTCTATTGTGGCAATAAAATCTTGTAGTTGGCACTGCACCATTTGGGGTTCTCTCGTTTTTTTCTCCTACATGGTTATTGGAGTGTGGAGCATTGTGAGGAGGAGTCTATGTGCCAGAGTTTGGGAGCGTTCATCCCGGGATTCCCATGTTTCAAGAATAAAAAGCACATTAAAACATCACAGTGACCTGATTTGGCCCTTGGAGAAATCGTCTATTTAATGCCTAGTGTGCCAACCATGAGAGTGGGAGGCAACACTTTTTGATGAGCGCACACCTGAGAGGGGAGCACTGCACGCATATGCATGCATTTAATTTCTTCACAGGTTTTCTTCACGTGGTGATTGCTTTGTGGATGGATTCATTTGGACTTTTCTTTTGGAATATATGAAAAAATTTTTTGCTACTTCATTTATATATATATTTTTATGTGGAAGATATTTTTAATTATTTATATATTTTATACAATTTTTTCGGCACTGCTAATTAATTTATGCGCCACTAGATTACTTTTGAAGTGTATCTTTGCTGTTTCTTATTATATTTTAAAGTGGCAGCATAGTGATAAAGATCACTTGACTACACATTCAGCGCAGTTTGATGGTTATACACTTTCACTTACAGTAATATAGCTTCATATTGTAGGGTTGAGAATAATTCTTTGGATCCAAAAAGCAACAGAATGAAAAACTGGCTTTTAAAAGTTGAAGTTAAAGGGTTAGTTCACCTTTACCAAAAAACTGCCTATGCAGCTCTGACTAAAGTTGAATAATGTCCATGCTATAGGTGTAGGCCATTTATGTACCTCCTGAAGCCTGACTGGAATACTCCCAAGACGTTGCTAAGTGAGGCCTAGTCGTTACTGTTCACCATAACAGGAGTGAGCTTTCAAACTTTTAGCTCAGAGCTACTGCATCAGGGGAGAGAAAGAGCATGTGAGGAGGTTTGAATCAGAGAAAAAGCTCACTCCTGTGATGGTGGAGGTAAGCAGTAATGACTAGGCCTCACTCAGCAATGTCCTGGTATTCCAGTCAGGCCTGCACCTATATCAAGGGTATTATTCAACTTTAGTCAAAGCTGCACAGTTTGTTTTCATCCATAAACACCCCTTGCCTGCACAGGCAGTTTTTTTGTAAAAGTGAACTAACCCTCTAAACAGCTAAAACAAATACCTACCAACAAGAAAACTATAAAATGTCCACTACCATGTGCTAAGAGCAGAAACTGGCTTGGAGCCCATCCAAGCCTTGGCCCACCCCCCACAATACAATACTGGCATCTCTCTATAGGTCACTGAAGTAAGCGGATTGCATTGTTGGCGCAGTTGGCATACAATAGCGCTTGACTGGGGCTACGTGTTGATGAAACACCATGCAGTGCCTGCCATTAAGGCCTCATTCACGCAGGACGTTTTAAAAACATTCCTCCTCTTGGCGGTATTTTGGCAAAAAAAAAAAAATCGCCTGACGCTTGTGAAAGTGTGTAACGCTTTTACATCCATATAGGCGCAATTACAGGTATCAATTCATTTCATTGGCCAGAATAACAATTTATTCTGGCCAATAGAATGAATTAATGCTCAAGCACTAAACGTGCCTAGCGTTCACACGCGTCAAGAGTCATTTCTGCTACTGGACACACTGGCCTTGGTTTTTCTGGGGTTGTTTTTTTGGCTGGTAAACGCTATTGCTACTAAAAGCTTCTAAAAGTCTATGCACGAGTGCATGAGGCCTAATTATCCACTGCAAACACTTTGTATCACTGACAGGTTCTCTTTAAAGGCTATTTTCACACTGATCCGTAGCAAAAATGCAGCAAAAGCACATATGTGGTTTTGCCGCCTTTTTTACAGTATTTGCAGTGGTTTTTTTAAAGGGGGTGTGACTCAAAAACCGCACCAAAAATGCAATGTGGGTGCATTTTGATGCATTTTTGCCACCTTTTCCATTCATTTCAATGGGGAGGTGCATTCTTGGTGGTTTGTTTTGTTTGTTTTTAACCGCACCAAACCTGTACCAAAAAATGTAGCAAGCAGTGCAGTGCTTTTTTTAAAAACACAGCATACCTGCAACGGATTAGTGTGAAAAATTCTATAGGATTAGATCGTTACACGTTTTTCTTTCACTTTTTTAAACACAAAACCAAAAGAAAAACAGTGCAGTAAAGCAAATGAATGCCGGTTTCTGATTGGTTAACAGGAAATTTGAAATGGTTTTTCTGCGTGATAATGGAAACCTATGCTGGTAGAACCGAGTGCTCCTCCTAAAATTCCTGGTAGTCCTGCTCATCTTCTGGCATCAGTACATTCCCTGACCCAGAATAGGGGTGGGCTCAGATGTGTTGGGATCCTTGTGTGAAACCACCTGAGTGAGCCCCCCCAGGAAGCTGTCATTGTACTGGACCAATCATAAGCAATCACGGCATTCAACACCTAACGGCCGTAGGTATGCACGCCCATTGCCCTATTGCCCCCTGCAGATGATTGGCCCAGTACACTGACAGCTTCCCGCTGGGCTCACTCAGGTAGGTTCTGACTGGGATCCAAACACCCCCGAGCTCATCACCTATAACCAACTTAATATTTTCCAAAATTACGTAATACGAGGACCTCCCTAAACCAACCAATAAATCTGTATTCAATCAAGTAGGCCCTTACTCCACATACTTGCTGGTAGATCTAAAGGAGGTTGTACAATCACATTGTAACATGTATGGTGAGCCTCAAAGTAATACGCTAACCACAAATGTTACAATCTAATTGTGCAATTTCCATCAGACCTACTTACAAGTGTGTACTGCAAAGGCTTGCTGGATTTGATACAGATTGATAGGATAGATTAGGTGTGTCCTCCTATTATTTCTAGATTGTAAGCTCCAAGGAGCAGGGCCCTCGAACCCCTCGTGTATCGCATTGTATTGTTATTGTACTGTCGCATGTTCTGTCTCCCATTGTAACGTACAGCGCTGAGCGAACTGTTGGCGCTTTATAAATACTGTATAATAATAAAGTTTTCGTAAATAAAAAATGAGCTGTACAGAGAATGTACAATCAGATTGTATAGTATATGGCCGCCATTAAGCTGTCCACACACTGTATGAACTAATTATACAAGTAGTGCTAAGGCCTTCTTGGATACAACTTAATTGGATAGTTTGGTAGATCCCCACATTACATAGTTTTGGTAGATCCAAGGTTGATTGTACAATCAGATTGCAACACATAAAGTAAGCCTGTAGGTGATGACCCACACCTTCCAATCAAATTGTACAAATTCCTTTAGATCTACCAACAGGTATGTAGTACAAGGGCTTACCTGTTTTAATACAAATGAATAGTTTAGATGGGTCCTCGTTTTACAGAGAACTGATAGATCTAAAGGCAATAGAACAGAGATTGTATGGTCAGATGTTAATGTGTGTGGTGAGCCTTAGGGCCATCACAAGTCACAATCTGGCCATACAATCTTTGCACAATCAATTTTAGATTTACCAAAACTGTGTAATTTAAGTACCTACCTAATCTATCCAATCAGACAGACCCTTGCACTACATAGTTTCTGAGAGATCTAAAGAAGATTGTACAATTAGATGGTAAAATATGTGGTCAGCTTTAGAGCCATCAGAGCCGCATGACAGCCAGGGAACTAGCATTTTCGGAATTATCGATGATTGCCTCCATGTGGCTCTCACTACAAATTTTAAAGTTCTTTAAGTTTTAAAGTAAAAAGCAATAAAACCACCAAATGGTAATTGCCTGTCCCTGAACCAACCTGACTTCTGGCTAAATGCCTCTTAGAGCTCGTCATCGCTCGCTGAACAAGCCTGACTGCGTTACACTCGGCAGAAGGAAGAATGCACATGCACAGCCCACAACGGGTTAACCCCTCTGTCAAGTCTCCAACTATGGCTTCTGGACGTATATGGAAGAGTCAAGGAGGCCACAGAAAGAAAAACCTCCATACGTGTATACAATAAGGAATTGGGGGGTGCTGTAACCCCAAACTCACTGTGCAATGGGCACGAAGCCACAGGACGCGGCCGCATGGAGTGGGGGTCCACCCCTCGTTATCCTGCTGGTTGACGCTGGCTCCATTTTCAACCAAAAACTGAACCATGTCCATATTCTCATCAATGCAAGCCTGGTGGAGGTCAAAGGAGAGAAAATGACCGAAGATGGAACATCGAGAAAGATACATAGCAAGCAATACAACAGTACATGGATGGGGGAGGGGGGAATAAAAGTAGCCGGCGGATGAGGAACATTTCAGCTAAATGCTAAAAAATGCCAGGGGGACGAGGAATACAAAGAGACGGCAAAGATCTGAAGTCTTCTGCTAGCTGAGAAGAGTGTGTGGTCTCCAATAGCAGCTGACTATGAAAGGATGAAACGTTCTCCTAGAAGTTATTGGGTGTATGTGTGTGATGTGGTGCCGGCGGTGGCTGAATGCTACCAGATATGGAGATAAGGGACAGTTATGGGGGCCTAGGACCAAGAAAATGGTGATAAAGACAGAAGATCTTGTCATCTGGAGGTTGTTTTACTAGTGTCTAGTTAAATATATGGGAGCTGAAGGTTACAAGAAATGGGCAATCCAAGTCTGGAAATACACTAACAGATTTTCCCTTTCAATCTAAGCATTGCAGGAGAGAACCAGATCATAAGGGGAACATAGAGCAACCAAGGGGCTCATCTGTTGGAAGTTTTTGGCATGGTGGAAAGTCTTTCCAACCATGTAACCATTTGGAAGCCCACTGACAGCTCCATTGGATGTCCATCTGGAGGAGGTCAGTTCTCCATCCCCTGGGCAGCTCCACTGGATGTCCACCCCGGGGACGTCCACCCCAGCCCCGGGGACGTCCAGCCCCGGGGACGTCCACCCTCCAGCCCCGGGGACGTCCACCCTCCAGCCCCGGGGACGTCCACCCTCCAGCTCTGGGACAAGAAGATCTATCAACTGACTAAAGCTGGCTATACAAGTAAAGATTTCCCCATTCCCAGTATGGAAGGAGAAATCTCCCACTGCTAGCCGGGAACTTCAGCTGTCAGAATACTCGAACAGCGAGTATTCTGGCTACATTCAATGTTCGGCCGACTTTTTCTTGCCTGGCTCCTTCGATTTCAAGTTCCATGAGCCGAGTGTTGTCAGGAGAGCCACTCACACCTCAAATTTTGGCTAAAGTGGCTAAAAGTCAAGGTGTGTATGTCCAGGTTTAGGTGACAACCCATGTTGGGTCCACCAACACTTGGAGATAGTGGATCAAGCTCAGTAAATGCCCTCAATGTAGCAGGGACCACTCAAGCACTCTCCAAATCGATGTGATGGAGGGTCTCTAGATTTGATTGGATTACTCGTTTCGATTGATCAGATTGATGGGTGTGAGGAATAAAAGTCTTGTCCTGCTGGGACTGAGGTTCCTCCATGGCGCGCGGCCGAGGGTTACAAGATATGCTGATTCTTGTAGTCCACCAAGCGTAACTTCCACGCCCCGTGCCTACGGTTTGCCATGCAAGTCAGGATCTGACTGCCATGAACCAACCAGACCCCTGAAAAATCTGTTTCCCCCAATTCCAATCTGGCCGATCTCTCTTGATGGCTGGTGCAGGTGTGTCCCCCCCGTTCCCCAGGATGGGGGTCCCTCGGCTGACCCTACCTGGTGCAGAGCTGTCAGCCCGTCCACGTTGGTGCCATTGATCGGGGCTCCGGCCGCCAGCAGATCCCGAACCTCCTCCCGGTCTCCAGCCGAACAGGCGGCCATAAAGACGGCTCCCTGGGCGAAGCGGACCCGGGGGGGCGGCGGGAGGAGGCGTGGGCCAGACATCGCTCCGTGTCCGAGCCCAGCCACCGGCTCAGCTGCTCCTTTCTCTTCTCCTTAGCCGAGTCCGAGCGGCCACGATCATCCGCCGCCATCTTCCGAGTCCTGCCCGGGGACAGGCGGGAGGAGGGGACCGGGAGAGGCCAGGAGAGAGAGGGAGGGAGGGGGGAGAGGCCGGGGGAGGAGACCGGGAGGATGGCGGAGGGAGCTCCGGGGGGAGGAGGAGGGGGAGCTGTCACTGGAGGAAGGATGCTCCGACACCCGATCATCTTGTACACCGAACACAGCACGGAGGGTTAGAGCCCCTGCAAGGCTCATAGAATACCCCGTATAGTAGTAGAGGGGGAATCCTCCAATAGGATCACCTGATCTGGTGACAACGGCTCCCATTTACTGCGGAGCGTAGCCAGGCCACTGATGGTGGTCCATAAATCTCCTCTGCACACAGGAATCAGCCACATGTGTCAATTTAATTCCCGGAATGAACTGTAAAAAATAAAAATGAAAGCTTTGCTTACCTCCAGAAACCCTCCTGGCATTCCTTTTCCAGAACGCTGCGCAGTCTCTTTGTCACGGTGCGCTGGATGTCCAGAATGTTATGGATCTGTACCCTTTGAAGCCATTTGTTTAATTTTAGAAACAGTCAAAAGTTGAAGGGTGCTAAGTCAGGGCTTGGTCAAGTTTCAGAATGGATTTCTGGGCCAGGAACGCACAAACATTTAAGGCATCATGTGCAGGAGCATTGTCATGGTGGAAAATCCACTTGTCAGGCCAGAGTGTTGGTCTTTTCCTCCAAACAGATTCCCCGTTCACAGTCACATCTGTTGTATGTATTTTTGGCTGTCCACTTATTGCATCATCATGGACGTCTTCCTGCCCCTCCTTAACCGCTTGCCACCCACCTACCCACAGTACATGTTCTGAGGGTGGCCCAGCCAGGCTAGGTAACGGACCCAGGGGTGTATTTACCACAAGGCAAACAAAGCATTTACCTAGGGCGGCATTTTTCAGGGGGGCAGCACTGCCCCTTGGAAGAAGGGACGGAAGAAGGGACACAGGTGGCATGGGGACCTGGTGGGTTCCGAGAGATGCTGTGGGCTTCATGACGGTGTACGCACAGCCTGACTCTCGTCCCTGGGGATGTCCGGAGCTGTGAAGGTGAGTGTCTTTCTCTCTCTCTCGTCATGGGGGATGGTGGCTGGTGTATGGGGGGCAGTGGTAGTGGAAGGCTCGGGTGGGGGGCAGGATTGTTTTTGGTCAATGTCAGGCTCTTTCTGCGAGGGGAGGCACCAATGTTTGTGGTGCCTAGGGCAGCACAAAACCTAAATGCACCACTGAACGGACCTGTACAGCAACACCTGGCTTCCGGGTTTTAGACGCATGTGCGCGCACCCCATGCTCATGCTGACCCGTGCTGTGATTGGACACAGCACAAGTTTGTCAGCAGGTTTCAGCCAATGAGTTCGGCTGAAACCTGCTGATCAGCTTCTGTCCAATCACAGCACAGAGTCTGTGTTTACAAACACATAGAACTCTGTAAATAGAAGAGTTCTGAAAAGCAGGGGGAAAAAAACAGTCACATCTGAGTAGGGCCCTATTCACACCTGAGTGTTTTGTAGCTTGAAGCGCCAAGATGCTTGAAAAGCAAAGATCAATTTATTTCAATGGAGATGGTCCACAAGTCCTCCAAGTCACATCACGCCAAACACCCGAAGCTCAAACAAGTTCTGCAGCCTTTTTTCATAGCTCTAATTGGGCAACTTTGCACATTTTTATTCCCATAGAAATGAATGGAAATGTGCGAGTTGCGCATTTTCACACGTTTTGTCGTGCATTTTTGCATAAGTTTGTAATATAATGTAACAATAAATAAATAATAATTACCCCTAACAATAGAAAAATTGTAAATAAATTATTAATATAATTATTAATAATAGCAATGTTATAAAATAATAAAAACCGAAACCCAAAGGAAAAAAGTTATTGTTATTAATCATGATAACAATAATGTTATGTATTTTGTGTTAGGGTGTTTAATTATTATTACTTAATTACATTTTTTAGGGTTAGGGGGTTATGGTTAGGGGTTAATTATTATTTATTATTACATAGTATTAATTTATTGTATCTATTTATGATTATTTTTATTTATTTGTGTATTTATTTTACATTTATTAATTTATTATTAGTAGTAGTATTATTAACACCCTAACAAAAAAAAAAAATAAATAATAAGACAATAAATAAAATATTAACCCCAAACCCTAACCCTGACCTAACCTTAACTCTAACCCCTTACTCTAACAAAAAAAAATATTATTATTATTATTGATAATAAGAATAATAATACAAAAATAAAATAAAAGCTGATGGAAAAACTAAAAAACCTATTAACAAATGATGCAACAGATGATATTTTTCTCTATTGGCTAATAAAAAAACAGTCAAAGCTCAAACGTGCATAAAAAACGCTGTATGAAAATGAGCAAAATCGTGCAAAAAAGCTGCACACAAAAAGTTCAGATTTGCTGTGCCCAAGTGTGAATGCAGCCTAAAAGTAGCATGTTACACTTGTTAGGCACACAGTTAACCCCTTGATTGCCCCTAGATGTTAACCCCATCCAAGCCAGTGTCATTAGTGCAGTGTACAGCATTAGATCAGTGTACTAGTTTCACTAGCGACGTCAGTGTTCTTCCTTGTCAGTGTCTGTTAGTGCCGGATAGTCCTCCACACTATCACAGTCCCACTAAGTCACTGATCACCAGTATATAGTGTCATAGCTGCGTAAATTCCAGTATAAATACCATAGTTTGTAGACACTAAAACTTTCACACAAACCATTTTATACGCAGTTATTAGGATTTTTTTTTTGTTTATATAATAAAAATCCCAGTGGTGATCAAATACCACCAAAAGAAAGCTTTATTTGTTTGAAAAAAATTATATACATTTCATTTGGGTACATTGTTGCATGACTGGGCAATTTCCAGTTAAATTAGGGCAGTGCAAAAAATGCCCTGGTCATGAATGGGGTTACATTTCCAAAAGTCTCCTACTTTTGGCAATTTTGGCCCAAAAGTTGATGTTATTCCGCTGCTCCAGATTCCTGTCAGTCATTTTCCGTCAACATTGCAACGCACACGTTATTTCTTCTACTATTCCGTAAAGACTGAATCAACTGGTCTGGAACCCAGGCAAGTGCAAATTAGAACATGTCAGAACACGGTCCAGTGCAAATGGCTGTGTGACCCCCCCAAGAGTGCTATGCTATGCCGTGGGCATTCTGGGAATGGAGCGCTGCCTAGACATTATTACATCAACATATACATAGTGTTTCATACAATGATTCTTCACAAAGTCTATGCACTATGAATAAACATACAATCTGGGTTGTCAGACATCACTAACCTGATCAATCAAAGCTGTTTTTGGTAGAAATGATATTTCTACATGGCAAATAATTTACTAGCGGTGTAGTAGAGTAATAGAAATCCAACAGACCCAACAGTCATGACATGCATGCTGCTGATTCTGTGTAATTGAATCACTAATTGAAAGGGGCATGTTCAAAATAATAGCAGTGTGGAGTTCTATTAGTGAGGCCATTCATTCTTTGAAAAACAGGTGGTAATTATTGCCCTTATTTAAGGAAGGAAGGCAGCAAATGTTGTACATGCTGGTTACAGTGCATTTCTCTCTGAACTTCTGAGGAAAATGGGTCGTTCCAGACATTGTTCAGAAGAACAGCGTACCTTGATTAAAAAGTTGATAGGAGAGGGGAAAACATATAAAGAAGTGCAGAAAATGATAGGCTGTTCAGCTAAAATGATAGCAAAGGCTTTAAAATGGCAACCAAAACCTGAAAGACTTGGAAGAAAGCGAAAAACATTCAAATGGATAGAAGAATAGCCAAAATGGCAAGGACTCGGCCAACAATCAGCTCCAAGAAGATCAAAGAAGGTCTAAAGTTACCTGTGAGTACTGTTACAATTAGAAGACGCCTATGTGAAGCCAAGCTATCCGCAAGAAGCCCCCGCAAAGTCCCACTGTTGAAAAAAAGACGTGCTGAAGAGGTTACAATTTGCCAAAAAGCACATTGACTGGCCTAAAGAGAAATGGTGCAATATTTTGTGGACTGATGAAAGTAAGATTTTTTTTTTTTGGGTCTAGTGGCCGGAGACAGTTTGTCAGACGACCCCCAAACACTGAATTCAAACCACAGTACACTGTGAAGACAGTGAAGCATGGTTGTGCAAGCATCATGATATGGGGATGTTTCTCATACTACGGTGTTGGGCCTATTTATCGCATACCAGGGATCATGGATCAGTTTGAATACATCAGAATACTTGAAGAGGTCATGCTGCCTTATGCTGAAGAAATGCCCTTGAAATGGGTGTTCCAACAAGACAACGACCCCAAACACACCAGTAAACGTGCAATTAGAAGGATTTTGAGCTTTATTCATTTTTTTCAACACACTGCTATTATTTTGAACACAACTGTATATGGTGATGTAATAAAGTCTAGGCAGCGCTTAACTACTATCAGTCTACACCTTTATGAGGGTCAGGACCCTTTGTAGTAGCAGCAGCAGCCTCCTTTGATTGATTTGATCAATTATTATTATTTTTTAATTCTTTTAATGATTTATATAAGTTTTTGATGTTTATCATTTGATGTTCACTTGAGTTACTTTTGAGTTAAGTTTTGTGTACACAGACACGTAATAAGTTATGATCAACAAAATAACCCTCAAAGTGATTCAGTAACGCAAAAATATATATATATGCATGTAAATAAATAAGTGATCATTCAACATAAGTGAAAAATATAAAATAAAAAGTCCATGAAATGTCGGTGAGCTGGTGAAGAGGAGGAGAGCGGACGGAGAAGGAAGATACAGTCAGGTCCATAAATATTGGGACATCGACACAATTCTAACATTTTTGGCTGTATACACCACCACAATGGATTTGAAATGAAACGAACAAGATGTGCTTTAACTGCAGACTGTCAGCTTTAATTTGAGGGTATTTACATCCAAATCAGGTG